TTAAGCGGCAACACCTCCGAATCCTCCCCACTAGCACTTTAAAACAGTCCATGAGAAGACAGCATTTATTCTCGAGTCTCTGACCTTGACTCCACTATTCCCTACCTGGACATTAAATCCATTAAGTAGCTCAGAAACATGAAATTTAATTCCATCATCTATCTTAGCAGCTATCTTGAAATCCAGGAATTGGCTACAATTTTGCCTTTATTAACAGCTCAGATTTGCCATTCCTTTTACTTACTCTGTGCGAAAGAGCAAGAAAAGAGCCCTCCAAAGATTCACATCAAGGTATTTAGCGGTTCTGTGTGGTTTTATTTATAGAGAGAGAGAGTAACAGCAGCCCTTGAGAGGGCCCTTCCCTCAGTGCTACTCATACACGCTGCCGACGAGCGCCGAACCCTCCCGAGGCAGCGGGTCAGTGCAGAGCGGGAGGACCGGGCTGCACGGCGGGAGGGCACGGCCTGCACAGGCGGCAGCTGACGCACAAGCGTCTGCGCGAGGACTGTCCGGGGTACCTGCTAACTGCACCCACTTCACTCCCAGTGATACCTGGCGCTGGCTGCTGCAGGTTATAACCACGGGGTTACTCTTGGAGTTGTCCTGGTGGAGTCAGCTTTGGCTTTTCGGGAAGAGGCCACCCGTCCTCGGGGGATGCAGCAGCTGCGCGCAGGAGGCTGCTCTTAAAAAAACACGGCGCGGCAGCGATGGCAAAAGCAGCTGCTCAACTGTATTTCTTACCTCATTTTCCAGTCGAAAGGGCAGAAGGGTAAGAGGTCCACGGGCCATCTCCATGGCCGAGAAGGACATGAGTCTGCCCAGAGCGGAGGACACTGCGTACCGCTGTGCCAGCGCCAGCTGGCAGGTTTCACTGGCGTGCATTTTAAATCTGAAAATTGCAAAGGATATGCAAAATTAATAGAAGGATGAATATGTAAAAGTACTGGAAAGACATGTCTTAGCATTCTGGGTTTGTCATAACGTCATCACGCAGAACGGTACGAGCAAGCTGGCAAGGGACTAGATCAAAACGATCCACTGCTAAGCTTCCCTGCGTAGCCGAAGCAATTCTCTGAAGAGCTACTTAAATCCCCTGCATAACTTTATTAATTATCAGGAAGGTGATTTATTCAGATTGACTCCTCAATGTAAAAGCATATTTAACACATGAATCTCTATTTTAATTGAATGAGTTCAGATAACGCTTAAAAAAAATGGTGATGTCTCTAAGCCAGTGCTTGACAGAATGAACAAACTCACACACTTTCTCCAGATTAGCTCCGCGTTATCTGCGCTCCTCACACGGCTTCAAGGTCACAAAGCTGAAGTTCTTAAAGTTAAGACAGTCTATCATGTAACCTGATGGAAAACTAAGTTTTGATTTAATTAGTTTATGCTAAACCAAAGTCTGTTTTGCAAGTTAAAAACAGCTTCAAATCAGGAAACACTGTGCTCCATAAGCCAGAAATGGATCACCACAGCAGAAAACCAGGGCTGTGTTTTTAACCTGCATGCTATTGTTTCCCAGGCCAGCAAAAATAAAGAAAAGTGACATTTTAAAAGGCAGGCAGGGCTTATTCATGTAGGGATAATGGCTTGTAATAACTCCAGCTGCTCTTTAAGGGAATATGCCACATCAAGATGCACCATCATGAATTTCGCTAGAACTCAAGAAATTTAGTGAGCAACGAGGCGTTACCAGCCCAAAGCCTGCGTCCTCCATTCCACAGGGGTTTCACCCTGTGGACAAGTGACTGTAGAATGCGTGTTGTAGGTCTCCCTCCAGTCCTGGAGTGGGAGAACTGGGAATACAAACAGTTGCAAACAGCAGCGAGCCACTCGCCAAGGGATTCCCCAATTTCCTACCGGGAGTGGAGCTATTATTCCACATGAGGAAGCAGGACAGAAGAATGTGTTTTGCTTTCGTGCCCCACAGATAGCCCTTTTCTTTTTCCCAGCTGCCTGTTTCTGAAGCCACCTCTCCTTCTGCCAGTAATCAGGTGCCCAGAATTAGTTTCCAGGAAACCTCTGCTGCTGCTGCTGACTTCAGTTACTTAACCAAGGGAAAAACCAGCTCAGTGAGGGCACACACATCTCCCACCTTTAATAAAACTCAAATAAAGCAGAGCTATGCAGTTCTATCCACTGTGTCTTGAAGGGAAGACAAGAAAAGCAAGCTTATCTTGGGGGTGCAGGGCACAGAGAAAGCACAAAGGTGACCCAACTACTTCCACTTGAGTATTTGAGGGCTTTTAGCAAATTTTAACACAGTTTGGTTAAATAGAAGCTTGCAAACCAATCTCCCTGATTTCCACCACATGCCATTTGGGTCAACTGGCAGCACACTGGGCTCCTGCCTGGGTTACCCCAACAGCAAAGCAGCAGACAAGTAAAACCTGGGCATGAAAAAGAACGGGGTACGTTGAGGCAACCGCCCAAGCAGTGAGTCAGCCCAAGCTAAGCAGGCACGTGTTGGCTCCCCAACGGGCCCGGCTGAGATGCAGACACTTTCAGGTTGGAGAAGCTCAAAACCACGTCCCTTTTGACAGCCTCGCCTGTGAGTGGAGCTGGCACGCCTCTGCTTGGGGGAGCTGGAGGCTGGATCTGCGAAGCTGTTCCAGGTATAACCTCACCCTGGAGAAGCGGAGGTGCCCGTGGGCGCAGACCATGAGGAAGGAGCTGCAGAACCAGCCGGCAGCACGTGTTCCCAGCGCTTACAGTGGTGCAGGAGTCTCTCAGCACAGTAAAAAGGCAGCTCAGCTGCTGCACTGCCCCCTGACCCAAGGCTGGTCTGGCAGTCGCTTCACTTGGGCCCCTTTCAGTGAGCATCAGCTGAGGGACAGTAGTTATCCATGCTGGATACTCCCTGGAGCTGGCCAAGCCTCTCAGTGCACCCTAAGAGGTACAGAGCGATGCTGTGAAGTCGTGGAAAACGCCAAGCCGCCTCTGCACAGCCAGCTGACGGTGCTGGGAGGCTCTGGGCTTCACTGGTGCGTGCTGGTTTCCACGTTCTGCTCACCCTTTATGTCACATCAGACACTTCTGTATTGCACAGCAGCACTGTTGGTCAAACCCCTTGGGCTAAGCAAACTCTTCACACCGCGCACAAGCATTCCAAGATGCAGCAAAGCAGATCTCAGCAACAGATACTAGTTTTATAGACATCTTCCAGGAGTCGGGTCTGAAGCAGGCTAGAGAGAAATAAGCTGGCACCACTACTCATTTTGCCTGTTCGTACAGGCCAAACTGCTGCTTTTGTGGTCACCTTCGGCGGGGACAAGAGCGGTCACAGCTGAAGCAAGCTCTAGTGTAGCAAGGTAACAGATACTGGTGGTTTCCAACATTGAAACTGCACATCTAACCAAATCTGAAATCCCATAAGTCTCATAAAAGACCTGTTACTTTAGTGACTCACTCCTGCATGCTTAAATAGGCCCCTGCGCTTTGCTCAGGCCAAAGTCTCATTTTAATCCCCTTCTCACAGGGTTCTGGCACTCACCCCACACCAAAACCTTCCTGCTGCCTGCCCAGGACCTGCTCCCCAGCCTCTCCCACAAACCCCTCCTGGTTGGGGCATCCCTCATGACTCTGCCGGGCCGTGCTTCTTCAGGAAGTGCAGGATCCGATGAACTTGAGCCAGGGAACCCATTCTCAAGAAATTAGTTACAAATTAAATAGGACAACTAGGGGCGTGCTCACTTTGTGAACATAGTTCATGACATTATCAGCTTTTCTCCTGCCCAAATAAACTTTTTCTTTACCTTGTGAGAAGCTAGGATTACCTCAGCCCAGGCACCAGATTTAAGTTTTGATGCTTTCCAAATTACAAGTAAAAAATGAGCAATATGAACTCACCCAACAGCCAGGGAATTGTCTTTTGGGGTAAAGTTACCCCATTTAGAGAAGCCTGAGGTGCCAATTCAGTACCTGAGGAAGCTGCTGTAACTGACTGCTAGGACTAGTTACCCTGTAAAACTGACCTCAGCATACACATGACCTTCAAATATTCAGAATATTCAAATTCCTTCAAATACCCCAACTATTCAGAAGCCAGCCTGGCCCTATGTACAGGCCACACCGTTGTGGCGTGGCTCCCCTGTCGCTGAGAGGCGGGAACCTCGCAGCCCACCACCAGGGCTGGTGCAGACGCTTGGGGCCAGCAGGTACTGACACCACATGCCGGTCCCCCTACTGCGGCCCAGCTGCATGTGCAACGTGCGACAGCACCGCATTCCCTCCAGCCATCGACTTCCACGACGTGCCAAACGCACCAAAACCAAGGCAGAGAAGCTTCGTGGTGAGAACAGAAGACTCACCCCTGCCCCAAGGGCCATCCACCATTGAGACTGCAGAGCAAGCCCAGTGAAAACCAGACAGACAAGACGTTCCCGCCTTCTGCCCCGCAAGGGAAGAGGCATCACAGGCTGCTCGCCCGCTCGTCGGGATACGGGAGCGCACCGTGCTCTCAGAGCAAAGCGTCATCACTCGAAATACTCACCTAGCTTAGCCCGCTGGTGCTGGCCAGGTAATTCAGAAACAGCAAGCCAAACCCAGCTCAGATCAGCACATGTTTTAAGAGGGTTTGTTTTTTTTTTGACATACTACCAGAAGCACTGGGGCTGAACGTTGCCAGAAGACAGCTGTCAGTCAGTAGCTGCAGTGAGCAATGCTCCTCTCCCCCCACTTACACTGACAAATCCCACCCACTCCCTTGAGGTATCAGCAGTTGGGCTACAGTGTGATGACCTGGTTTACAGAGCCAAACCAGAACATTTTGAGCTTGTTTTCTCTCAGGAGAGCAGGATTTAGCAACACCTGCCTCAAGTCAACAAGCTGTTATGGAGCCAGAGCCCAAGGAGTAACAGTGTGGATTCCCAGGAAGCACAGTCTGGGTAGCCACGCTGCTCATCTGCCTCATGGAAGAGCTCCTCCTCCCGAGTGACCTGCAGGTGCTTTCCCTCCCAAGTCATTATTTAATCCTTAGAGACCAGTAGCCAAAATCTAGAGCATGATTATTTATTGTCCTTTTCAGGGAGTACAAAGGCAGCTTTAGAAAAAGAGGGCCAGTAGTCATTACCACGGTGGATTTTGTTCTCACCTAACCCACTGTAAATCAAAACCTGCAGGCAGGTACAACCTGTGAGAGACCAACTGCTCTTCCACACCACTCCCTTTGCAAGGTAAGATGCCTCGCTACCCCTTGAACACATTCCAATCCAGCCCCATCATCTGTCACTTTGACTACTTCCAGGACATACCCAGGAATAAGAACCTTAAACTCGGCTGGCAGTTCTGCAACTCGTGTGGCTGCTTAAAGAGCTGAGAGCAAACCACCCCCTGCTTTACAGGAAAGCAGCTGAACACAGCAAACCCCAACTTTGAGGGATACAGAGGGGACAAAGCCACAGTTCAGGACTGCTGGCCAGATCAAGAGTAGTCCGTGCCATCTGGAGTAAGCATTTAAAGAAGTATTTTTGGTATACAGTGGTCTTTGTCGAGTGGAACGGCACGCTTCCCTCTCCCCCACCAGAGCCGTGGAGTGTCAGTGGGAAAGGGAAGCCATGCAAGACTAATTGATGACATTTTATAAGAAAATCCAGACTTCTGATCCGTGAGCCAGGAGGTAAGGTGTCCAACTTAGTCCTTCAGCTGGGAGACTTCATAGAGGTAGGCACCGAGCATCTTCACCCCCTGGATGTAGTTGTACCTGGAAAGAAGATCGCTTCCATCAGCACTGTCCCGAGCAGAGCTGTATTTCTAGCAGTTGGGAGTTTTGCAAGATGAGCCCTGTGCAGACAAGGGATGCTGCAGGCACAGGCGCTGCTCCCAGCCTCCCCGGAATCTCCTCTGGCAGGAGAAGTGCACCCTTGGGGTAGGGGAGAACAGCCAAGCTGGGAGACCAAAGTATATAAAAAAAAAAACCCTGCCTGTTTTCCAGTGCATAAACCCAGAAGGAGTAATGAGATCAAGATCCAGCTGCAGACTAGTCACCCACCCCATCACCCTCTGCTGGGGAGAAGTGGCACTTTGCCTTCCAGGGACTTTTCCAGGAAAAGCAGAGAGCCCAGTTCTTCTTGGTCCTCTTCCTAACACGTCCTAATATATGCCAAGCCCCGCAGCACAACTCCGCCTGGCCCAGGGGTAGGTGTTCTCTTACCTGTTTAGCTTCTCGTTTTGAGAGTGGGCACCATCATCCGCAGCTCCCACGGGAAGCAGCATGACATTCTTGCCTGTTGCTTCTTGGAAAGTCAGGGTAACAGGAATGCTTCCTCCCTCCCTCGTCAGGTCTGGTTCAACCCCAAAAACTAGAACCAAGCGATACTCCGGTGAGGTTGGATTCACGTTTGTTTTTCCAGCACAAATCCTTACTGCTGCTTAAGCAACCAAGCACCAACCACTTCTGCACCACGTGCTGACCAAATCTTGCTCTGGCTTAAATCAGGCAGACTGCAGAGGGGGCAGAGTTGGGGGATTTGCCCCCCAGCCGTCGTGCTGGAGTACGGACACTTTCAGAGCTCAGCTACACACCCCTCACTTCATCTGGAAGCCTGTCTGTACCCAACACGGCGCTCAGATGTGCTCCAGTCACCCCAGGCGGTCTCGTTGCCCACGCGTACCCCGTTAAGAAGGATGGCTAGACTTTGAGGGCTTTGGCCAAGCAAGTGATCTGGGCTACTGACAGTCTCACCCTTCCACAAAAGCGACACCACACCCATGAGCTTGTTCCAGTACAGCAAGAGTGAGCTTGACAGCAAACTTCTTTCCTTCCTCTACCTCAGACTTGAGCTCAGGGACTGCACGCGACGTGCCTCCTCACCCAGCGAGCCAAGCTTACCACGTAGCAAGTGCAGAACGCCACAAACATGCCCTCCTCAGGATTCCTGGAACAGGAGCTTTAGTCGCCCCCCAATGCCACATGGAAAACCCACTGACCTGCCTGCATGGCCCTCCTCCCGGCCATGTAGTGGGGATGGTTGAAGTCTGACACCCAGGGTTTCCCGCCGTGCCCCAAGTACACTCTGAACTTGTTGGGGCTCTGCAGCTCTGCAAACTTTTTGCTGATGTAGTCCTCGACCTGGAAGAGAGGTTGAACCGTTACCGACTGTCAGCATTTGCAGGACACCGGGAAGGACTGTAGGCTAAAGGCATCTGGGGGACTTGCAGGTCACCACCACTGCGCAGCAAGACCGTTCCTAGCACAATTATTTCATATTATTCCCCTGTGTCTCTGCTCTGAAGTCAGAGCATCTCCTCCAGTGAACATGGAACAGCCAATGTGGCAAAGCCTTACACTTTGAATACGCACTTCTGGCAATCCAAGTGTCCTACAGTTAAATTAGCATTTACTCCTGAGCTCTGTTGGGTTAGTCGGGAGCAACCAACTAGCCAGGCCACAACGGTCCAGTGTGGGACCATACAGCGATCCCTCAGCTCTGAGTTGAGGTGCAGAACAAGGAAGATGGCAGCAAATTCAATAAACAAAACTGCTTCAGCCAGAAACATGCTTTCCCCAGGCATGGAGGAGGGCGGAGGTTTAGAGACACGAGTTGTTTTGTACCATCAATCCATCTCAACGTACGTGCTTTGTGACTTCTTCAGGAGTCATGTTTGGCACAAGCCTGATTGAGAACTTGCCAATCACTTTCCTAGGAATCACAGTCTTGGCTCCAGAGGCCGAGAAGGCTCCTTCAATTCCATGGAGAGACAAGGAAGGGTATCTCCACCTATGCATAAGGATATCTCTCTGCAGGAACAAAGGGAAAGATGCAAGGTTACATGAAGTTTGACGGTTCCCCGGAGCAATAGTTTCTTCAGTCTAATAATGACTTTGCAAGAAACAGTGCTTTTCCCCACAGAGAAATGCCGCCCCCATTCAAGACCCCTCAGTTAAACAGAAGCTGGTACCCCCGTTAAGCACACATCTTCATACAACAGCTGGGTTTTCGGCACCTGAAGAGATTCAGTAGCTCTCCTTTGGCTTTCTCCTAGTTCTACGGAACTTAGGGGACACGACCAGCCTGCTCCTGACAAGGACACACATACCATTCGAGTGTGCAGGGAGTCTATCAGAAGCTGTAGGCCCTGCTGCCCCGAGTCAGGCAGATGCCTTCATCACGGAGCCACACGCTTATGAAGATCACAGGGTTTCCAAAAGCATCACCCCTGCGCAGACGGAGGCACACGGTGTGCTCCTCTTTCTGTCACCGGTTGTACCCCACCCCTGAACTCCAGGCTGATCAAAGCAGGCACTACTGCCTTCCGCAGGTACGCTCTGCATCCCCTCCTCGCTGCCTTGGCCACAGCTCTTCAGTGCACTGGATACCGAACTCAGCACCTTTGTGTCCTCTACAGGCAGCCACAGTATCTCAGACCTGAATGTCACCACAGAAAGTCAGGAGACTTAGAAAATTTGTGGCCTTCACGGGGGTTTTTTTTTGTTCCAGGTATAACCTGCCTGGAACAAAGCCAATTTGACTGTCACAGTTCAAATCTCTCGAGCACATTGTTTCTCCCCTGGAGATTACAGCCTTATACCTCTGCTTAGCCCCAAGATCCTTCTTGCATGCACACAGCTTGGTTAGAGCTCCCGTGGTAAGGGAAGGGAGGATTTTGTCTAGGTAAGACTGAACAGCTTTAGCTCAGGATCACACAAAACGAGCATCTTCCCAGCTCCTCCTTATACACAAGCTGTATTTCATCCGTGACTTTATGGGCAAGGCTAAACCAGGACATGTGTGTGCTCCCGGCTGATGTAAACCTGCACACGTAAAGACAAGGTTGAGGATACACAATGGTTACTTATACCTATCTGAGCTGAGCCTGCAGTCTCCTCCTGACAGCACGAGGACAGAAGACAGACCTCCACAGGTAAACTTGTCTTTTACAACACTCGTTTCTGCTTTTTAGGAGACAGATTTACATCTAGGGTTTAATGCCTTCGAATCAGCATGTGATGGCTGTGCCCTGCAGGAGTCAACGCTGTTAAAAGCGCTCAGAGAGCTCCCAGGGTGAAGATTTGAGACGTTCAGACATGAGTTTATTGGACTGTTCCAAGACTTGGGCAGCTGCCTAGGTCATGGCCACAAGACAGTCCTTGCTTGCCAGGTCTGGGAAGATGTTCAGTCTGTCAGCCTTCAGCTCATCCCAGCTAGATCTCAAGCTGTTTTCTTACCTAATGAGAACTCACCTCCATGAGCAACTACTTTATTTCTGATAACCCACTGAACTTCCCGCAGAGGCAGGAAAATGGGGCACTTTGTGCCGATGTGGTGTCTGACCTCTGGACAAGTGCTAGCAGTTCTTATCTACCATTAAGAGAATGGTACCAGATAAAGGAAGCTCTGTATGAACTTGAAATGCTACTTACAGACTAAGGAGCAAGTTTGAAGACATCTAGGACTGCTTTCCTTGAACATGGGATACTCTGGGCTAAGCTTCCAAACCCCTAACACTTCACAGAGGACCTGCTCGTGTTACATATGCGGCCAGCTGTACAGTAGGTGAAGTTATCTTCAAGGCAATTTTAAAGACACCAGATGAATTCTCTGCCTACTTAATGACTTCCTAACTACACAAGTATCCACAGAAGCCTTTTGTCTTCTGCTAACAGATGGCTTGAACTACCACAGCTAACGCAGGCACAGAGAGGAGGACGATATACCTTCGTATCATGCAATAGTTTTGCTGCTCCTACATCCTTCCCATATTCTTGCAGGTCAAAATCAATCTTCTCATAGAGCACCAGCTCCTCATCAGTAACAGGCGCCACTGCTTCATTAATGCCTGGGATCAGGATTTTCCCTTTCTTGTCTACAAGAGAACCTGTAAACAAGGAGCACCCGATATCAGGATTCAACCAGATGGCATTGCTGGGACCACTCTCCACGGCAAACAGAAGCCTTTGCCTTCTGAAAACTCTGTGAATGTAACGAAATCCTGACCCCTGCCTCTCAGGGCCTGCACCACGAAGCGTGGAAGGCACTGGGGGAATTTACAGCTATCCAGAACGTGCACTTCTTTGCAACTGTGTTTAATTCTACTGCTACATGTTTGGCTGGCTGTTTGAAGGCAGGATTCCCAAAGAGCTCAATATGGCACCTGAAGCAGAGTTGGCAGAAAAGAGTTGGCAGAAAAGAGCTGATTTAATTAACATACAAGTTTGCAGCAAGACTCAGGGGAAGATAAAGTAGACAGACAACTTCTTGGCAAGACCTTCATCATATTTCTGTTTCTAAGGCATCAGCCTTTCGCACCTGGCAAGCACCATTTCACTGGCCATTGCTCTGCTAGTGTAGGCAGCCCACAGGAACCCCCCTCACTGCAAACTCACTCCTGCCTTAATGGCTCTTACTCCCATTTTAGATGCATTCAGTGAAACCTGCTTTTTCTTACCCATCAGAGCAATGAGATCTGTCATGGCCTCGTGTACTGAGCCACCATAAACTCCCGAGTGAAGGTCTTTGTCACTGCACTCCACCTGGTTTGAATTGAATTGAGATTCAGGTTAATTTTAGCATGAAGACACTTGTTAAATGCAGAGAACAAACTTTTACCCTGGCTTTTTGCTGCATGTAGTTTGAGACTGCATCTGTTTTTGAAACCAGACCCCTCAGTTGTAGCACATTAAAGCTTTTTGTTGCTCTGGGGAGTACAAGCCCTTAGTTCTTACTGTCCCAACCTTGGGGACTTCAGTTGTGACACCTCCTCCTGCACTCAAGGCAGCATCTGGACAAAAGATATCTATGCCATGAGATAATCCTTCCGTGAAGGTGCTGGCTTACCTTGCTTCATACATCTGAAAGCTAACCCTCCCACCCAAGTATCACAGGACAGCACAAGGAAGATACTTAAGACAATCAGAAACCGTTCTGCTTCAGTGATCGGTTTCACCTCTTCTGAAGAAAAGCCACTGGCATGAACAAGTTAGAGCCACCACTCTGCTCCAGTAGGAAATTCAGGTTAATACTGGTTTTGCAGTGTATTTCAGCACTTACCTCTATGAAGTAGTAGCAGATACCCCTCAAGCCATAGGTGATACAAGGCTTCTTCTTGCCTAGCCAGTAGTTGTCAGAAATGCAAACATAATCCACATCTTTGAAGAAAGTGTCTCGCTGAGCAAAAATCAGTTCATCAAGGCCTTCAGATCCTGATTCTTCCATACCCTCTAGGCAGAACTTCACATTTACTGGAAACTCCTTGGAAAGTGAAAAAAACAGAACAGATTAAGTACATGAAAACATTGGACTCCTTCAGCGATCAGTAGTTTTCATCTGTCATGTACAAAGCAAAAAAAAGGACATGGGTAAATTAGTCTCATGACAGTGGAATGTGTTCATTATACACAAAGTATGACGAAGTTTGGACTGCCCTGATGTTGAGGGCACTTACAGTAACCTTCATTTGATGGAATCCAAACTCTTCAGAAAAAGTTTTCACTAAGATCTAGAAAAACTCGCTCCCAAGCCTCTTAACTGCGGGAACACAGCAGAAATCTGTTGCCAAAGAGGCAAGTCACAGGGCTAGGAAAATTAGTATTAAGCACTGAAGTTGCAAGCCACAGCAGGAGAGTCAGAGCTGCCCTGCCTATCCGGCCTACCATATTCCATTCCCAGACAGCACTTGAGAACTGGAAATTCTTCTCACAAGTAATAGCGACTTGTCTTGCAAGGCAAAGCAGACACCCTGAGCTACTTCTCATTGCAGGTTTTCTTGAACAGAAACAGCAAAGCTCCCAGTTTAGTCTTACTAAGCTAGTCCCTTCTTCGAGCTCAGTGGCAGTGAGACATTAAGCCTTGCTAAAGGCCAAGCTAATTTGACATCCTTACATGAAAGTGATCACATTTGATTTATCCCTCCGGCTCCAGATGCTCACATATGTATTTTCCTTCCTACACATTTCATTAAACAAAAAAAATGTTTGAAATGCAATCCAAGCATCTAGAAGACAAACTTGCCAGCAAGTCAGCTCAACCTTACTGGGACATCGGGGAATTCACGGGACTATTGCATCACTCCTCCAAACAGCTGAATAAGCAGGCTTGCCTCACCAGGGTTTGTGGCTTGGATAACATTTATTGCTAGACTCAGCTGTATGTAAAACAGCAGGACACGTTTTGGGCACATACCTGGTTAGTTTGTTGATAAGCCTCCAAGGCATTCAGCCAGGCAAGCACTGGACCTTTGTCATCTGTTGATCCTCGCCCATACAGCTTTCCTGGAGAACCAAGACACAAATTAACCAGCATGGACAAACATTAGGATGAAGCTTCAGCTGTCTCTTGCCTGCAGGAGAAAACACCTTTTTGGATAAGCTTTTTCAGCCCTGCTTATATTAACTTTCATTTCTGATTCTTCTGAAGCAGCAGGTTTACATCCTGCTTCCTACACCCATGCAAGTGGGACAGGCACAGGACCGCCACGGTTCTCCCACGTCCTCCCCCAGCTGGCCCCAGGCCAAGAGTTGAACATAAGCCTGGAAAAGATGTGACTGCCTTGGACTATGCATTCCCACATCCTTCACAGTAATACATGACCCACAAACACAGCATAAGGGTACAGAAACAAGCCACCTCCTTTCAACAGAAACTATCCGGTATTAGCTTCCATTCAATAACTCTTTGAAGAGTAAGACCTCAGTAGCTACTGTCTAATCACTTCTCTGGATTCTACAGATAAAAGTGAATCTCCCCAGGGAGGACTTTAGCCAAAGACAAGTTTGACAGGCTCCAGGGAAAGCAGCACACGGGATCACAGTAGAGGCAGATACTGCTGCAACTCAGAGCTGTAGCTACAACCCCTAAGCAAGGGGTGTAGCTGCAGCAGCGGAACAGGCCGGACAGCTTGTGAGGCAAGGAGCCTTTGGGAATTGTGCCTCTCCGCTGCCAGGCTGCACAGAGACAGGCCACAGCCCCAGGCAAGTCTAGCTCTTGCTATCAGGTGAGAGGAGATAATCCAACTCGGTAACAGACTCTGCTCCTGCAGTCAAGCGCCCAAGCAGAAATACCAGTTACCCCAGATACTCCTTTTCTTGGCAATGATTTAACACTCACACATCAAGAACAGTTCATTTCCTTCTATCCAAATGACCTTTGACACTCAACACTGAGGCAATGAAACAAGGAACAGCCCGTTGGTAGCACCAGCTTTAAACAGAAGAGAAAGTTTTAGTCTCCTCTTGGCTACTGGCGGTGTGTTGTTCCAACAGGAGCTACCGCAGGATTTCTGCATCCCTGTTTATGGGAGAGGGACACCTGCCTGGGCCCTCGCTCTGTAGAACACAGCTCCTGGGGTTCGCATCATCACACAGGGTGCAAACACCAGGCAACCCAGGGAGGCTGCAGTACCAGGCCTAAAGCTGCTGTGCCGAGTGGTTCGAAACCCCCGCAGAGGTTCAGAACCCTTGCCATCTGACATGACCTTACGGGCTGCAAGTTGGAAAGCGCACAAGAAACTACTTCTCAGGAGCTTTCTGGCCACCAATTGTTACCACGGAAGGCAGCAGCTCAGACTTTGCTGTAGCTACGAGGAAGATAACATGCAAGTACAGCCTCGACTATCAGAAAAGGAAACAAGCCCTGAGAGGAGCTGAGATTTGCAGCTCAAGTTGTTTACCATTTCCCCTCCTGCATATTTTCTCTCAACAGTATTAAACCAACACCCATGTCTGTTCTTGCTTTCCTTCCCTCTTTCAGTCAAGGATACAACTTCAGACCAGTTGAGAAATACCACACTTGTTAAGGAAGTGCTCACCAGTCCGCTGCTCTTACCGTCTCTTTCCACCAGCGTGAAGGGCTCGCTATCCCAGCCGTCCTCCAGCGCTGCTGGCTGAACATCCAGGTGACCATATACACACACCGTCTTTTTCTGTGGATCTGAGCCAAGGGTTCCCAGCACAATTGGTGGCAGGGGGATCTCTGACCCATCAGGCAGCTAGAAATAGGAGGCAAGAAGGTTTATTCAAGCGTCGGTGGCACATTTCATCACCCTTTTACACTGCAGAGGTCACGCTATTAGGGGCCCGCGCAGCTAAACGAAACTAAGCTACTTAAACCGGCTGCCAGAAGCAGTGTGCCAACGAGGGCACAAGGGCACCACACCAGTAAGCTTCCCGACAAGTCCCAGTGATAGCCAAAGCGTTCCAAGCCACTCAGAACTGTTAGCTTTAAACTAACAGCCCTCCCTCGGATTTTAGCAGAGCAAGCCGTCTGCGTGCCCGGCTGCCACATCCAACGCTGACCTAAGCCCAAGTGACCAACTCCATTCAGCGGGGCAGTCTGCACCGCTTGTCACCGCGCTTCCATCCCGTCCACAGCTCAGCTCTCGAGACAAAAGCCTCCTGGCAGTGCTATCAGCGAGGATAACACGTGCCTACCCCCAAAGGTCAGCGTAACGGTGGTATTTCTCTACACCGGCCTACGCTGCGAAGGGCAGGGCACTGCTGATCAGCTTAGTTCGAGAGTTCAGGAGCTGGACTTGGCTCAAGTACAGAAGCTGAACTCGGCTTCGTCCTTTGGAACACACCATGAGCAATTACCCCATGCAGTTCTCAGCATGTATTTCCCTCCCAGTGCACATACTGCTAAGACACTGCTCAGCAGATCAAGATCAGCTTTGATTTTTTTGCTCATGTGGGCTCCATCATTTTTTTTAAATCAATAGGTTACATGCTCCTTGGCCAGCTGAAGTTCTACGTGATTAAACTATTATTGCAAGAACTTACACTGACAGTAATCAGGACACAACAGAAGCTGCTCTGCAGCAGTAAACCAAGCTAGATCAGACAAGTTAACCGGTTTCTTTACATTGTCCTTCATTGATACAGCCACAACGTACATACTGCACTGACTACTTTTGTCTACACACAATATAAAACTAAAGTTAACTTTAATCCAGCTGCAAGAGTTTTCTAAATGCAAGTGTTGCTTGTAAAACTCTGTAAAATCAGTTCTTGCCCCCCAAAAGTTACACTGACAAAAAGAACAAGTTTGTCTCTGAATTGAAACACTTTTGATGGGATTTTAGGCTGTAGGTAGTGGCAGAGCTAGAATTACCCCACGGATTCCCTCCCAAGAGAGCACTTGAAGTCAGTTGCTTCCCTGCTGGGACCTGTAGGGCTACAAACAAGTGTATTGCAGTCACCAAAATCCAGAACTGCTCACAGGGTCCCGACACACACAGATTTCACCCAGCAGTCATCAGCACCAACGACAATTTTCTGAAGCTAGCAGACACTCCAGTACAATAAGATTTCCAATGCCACTACCCAAACACCAGTCTAACAATTTTGTTACAGGTCTGTGACATGTAGTGACAAAGTGCACTTCACAGGAGGAGCCTATCAAGCAGAGGGCTCCCAAGGATAAGATGATCATTCTCAAAAGCACATACATTTCCCAAGTGAAAAGAGGTCCAGAGAGCTAAAAATAAGGAGGGGACCCATCCTATTAAGGATGCTTCTGTATCTGGTTAGGGAGCAGTGCAATCCTGTGACAAATGTAACGCTTCTGGAGGAGCCCAGAAGTCCTGTGGTGGACTTATTGAAGCTTCAGTCAGTATCTTTACAGTCTGTGGGTCTAAGGTCCAACACCAGCCTGCTGTTAAAAACGTGAAGATGTTTTTGTTTGCAGATGCTCTGTTCATGTCCAGTGAGAAAAGTCTTTAAAATACATTTAATACAGTCCAAAGTGTAATGCAACATGCTTAGCCGACCTGGATCCCCAGGTTTACCATAAACAAGGGTTTTAACAGGATGCTCAGGCTGTGTGGCAGGAGGGGCATTACCCAACACCCCAGCAGGCTACTGCCTTTCCAGGACACTAGCCACAAGACCCCCGTGTGGTGGCCCTCACCAGAAGACCATCAGCCATCAAGGAATTGGTGATCCACACAATTAGCTCGAGCATGCCCGAGGCTGTGCTGTGCTGCACACAGCTTTCCCCTCCCACCGGTGCTGTGCGTGCCCTTGGGCTGCAGGAAAACCTCAGCCTGTTGATTGTAGCTCCCAGGCAGCTCCCACCGGGTACTGGTGCTCACACCAGCTGCATGTCCTTGCCTTTATCTAGGAGTGCAGCAAGAAGTTCTCATGTGAATATCCCTTTGGTTTGGCAGTGGAACCGAACAGCCTGAAGAAGTGGAATGGGATCACATTCCCATGAACAGGATCAGAGCAGCGTGATGCCCGCTAGATGCTGCACAGCTCGAAGCTCCCTATATCCAAAGGGCCATACCACAATCTATACCATCCTCTTTATAGCAGTAGCTCTAATAAACCGCATTTTAAATGACACTTTACGAAGTCCCAGTGCCTTTCTTACTGGGATCACAAGCAGCCAGCACCTCCTAGTGCTAAACACCTTGTCTTCCAAGGGGACTTTGTCTACTAAGCTGACATGGAGATGCTCACATACCTTTTGTTTCCCAATATCCATAAGTTGGGTGGTGCCTCCCAGTCGCTCGATATCCTTTGCGGCGACCTCCATCATGTGTCTGATCTCAGCCCTCTTCTCCGGCCATGCTGACACGCTCTGGATGGCCACCCACTGCGCCAGCCGCTACAAAGACAGACCAGCTAAAGGTTCTACAGCATGGGAATTATGGCATGGGAGGCACTACACAAATCCAACACCTTGCAACTCGACCAACACTGGTTTAGTCAAGCTTAAACTTGAGGGGAATCAGCTGTCCTCTGCTCAAAGCAGGACTCTAACCACTCATATAACATCCAAAAGCTCTCCAAAAACCTCACCCTCCTACAGCTGCCCCTGCAGTGTAGCACAAAGTCTGCAGACACACAAGGTAAGCTTCAGAGTATGACAGCTTGGGCATATTGTTCCTTTCTGGTGGCTGTTCTTTAAGTATCCAGCACCAGCTACTGTCCTTCAGGCTTCTCAGAAAGGCCACCTTAGCTTTCCCACACACACAAGTGAGATCAGTGAGAGCACCCAGCAGAAGTCAAGCTGCACACTTGGCATAGCTCTTGCCTGAGTGCTTACAGTGCCATACTACCAGTTCCTTCACAGGTGAAAGGGATTGCAATACAAGATGCAATTAAACAGCAGGTTAAACAGCAAAGTACAGAAGGTAACCTCTCCCTCTGTACCCCAACATGAACAGCTTCATGTGAGAAAGCTTTACTCCAGCCTTGTTTATATCCTTCCTTTCCCATCTTGAAAGTGGAGAGACATATAAACCAAATTTGGCATTCAGGAACCAGCAGCAAACCTCTCGTACCCCTAAATAAGTCACTGCTTGCACTATACAGTAACAGAGCATTTCCTAATCAATCTACCAAGGGATTCAGGTCTTTGAACAGAACTATGCCTAAACTGAAGAAAAAGTTTTCTGGCTCAACTCCAGTCACTCACACCCACTGCCTGCTCCCCTTTCCCCAGTTACTTGGCATTACTCCGTTACTGGGCATATTATATAGGGATAACAATGAGCTTGAAGTAGACCACCTAACCTACAATATCTGATAGCTGCCCGTGCTGCAGGACAAAACTCAAAGAAAACTTACCTGAACGTAGAGGTCCTGATGTTCATCAATGTATTTAAAGAGGGTTTCAAGAGCAGACATCTTCTGACCAGAATGGTATGGCTGAAGATTCTGCAACAGAAAAATAGTTTAGCCTTCACAGGTTTTGGCCTTCACAGGTTTAAGAAGCAACAACCAGTAATCAAGCAGCCACAGAAGACTCTCACCTTTCAACTGCTAATGTCACACCAAGCTGTGCTAACATAGAACTAGAGGCAAATCCCTCATGAAATCACACGGGCAAGTGGCTAAACAGAAGCACGTTTAATCTCACCACCGTTTCTGCCTCTTCCCCTCCCCCCCCCCCCCCCAAATAACTCTGGAAGTTGAACTGAGCAAGCTTGTCTATAGAGACACTTCAAACAAGTCACATACCTCACTCTACTGCAGAATTACAGGCAAAACGCAGCTCCAAAGAGTAGATTTCATTACTAAAGTTCAACTAACAGCATGCCACAGGCTTAAATGCTAGTAGCCAGGTCCAAGAAAGCACCACACTTTGTGCTCTACAAGGGAGGTTAAAAGCAGGCAGCTTAAGAACTGTGTTTTCTTCAGCTTTAAGTCCCAACCTGCCACCCAGCCTTCCCAAAGAAGGTCAGAGCGAAGCCACAGGACCAGAAACCAGCCCCAGCAGGCCATGAGCAAGTGGTCAGTGACTAGTTCAGTGCTACCACTTCCTTTTGGTTTAGTTTCAGCTGAAGTTCACATGAGAAAATCCCAAGACCCCGCCCCTCCTCAGTTTTCTGTCTTCCTTACCAGCCCAAAGTCCATCCTAAGAGACATTCTGTCCACTCAACCAAACCCAACAAGCTTAAACTTAATTTCTCAGGTTAGGACTAAAGATACAGAACCTCCTCTAAGCCAGGAAAACAACAAGCTTCACAAATACACCTCAAACCCAAGTGCCTGGACCATGAGAGGAAGCCCAGTGTCCACGGAACACACCACACAAGCATGTTCAGCAGCACCAGCTGTGCTGCAGTATTTTGTTCAGCTTTATGCCAGGTCCTTTAAGCCTTTCTTCCACTTCTGCATGGAAGTCACAAGACAAGTATGATAGTTGTTAAAACATCTGACTGTTTGTCTCAGGATTTCTTGGCCAGCTGACTACTCCACAGAGCTGAAATGAGTACCTTCAAGCTGCAGGCTGTCCCACACAACACAATCTAAGCACATCCTACTGCCCCAACCCTACAAAAATCTTGCAGAATGTGTTTTCTTTCAAGCAGGCTTGTAATTAGATCACTGATGTTCGCCCTACAACAATCCTTTCCCTCACTGGAGATAGCATCCATTTAATTTACAGCATCCATTGAGTTTAAATTTGGATAAGGAGTTTTAAGCACTAATTAGCACAATCCCAAACCACCAGACAGCTTAAGCATTCCCTTCAATAACCATGCATGGTGAAACCCAAACGCCTTCAAAAGGACTACGTAGACATAACCAAGTTGCAGCAGTGCTTCTCACTGAAGCCTGGTTTCCCTCATGCGGTCATCCTCACATGCAGTCCAAGCTCAGGCATGATTTCTCTGAAGCTCTTCAGAGAAACCAGCTCACAGGCATCAGTCCTGCACATCTGACCCTCCCCTTCACTGACCCAGTTCCTACAGCAACATCAGGGCTCCAGCTTCACAGCACTGACACAAAATGCAACATATTACACAGAGGCTGATAGTCTGTCCAACACCAAGATCTGAACTACTTGCTAACTCAGGGACTACTTTAAGTATCACCTTAATCACAGTTAAATATCCTTAAAAATCAGGGGACATTGACTCACTCAAGCCTCACTGTAGAGCTGCAAAAAAGTCTGCCCCAAAAAGCTTCAAACTTCAAAAAGCAAGGGTTGCTTACTGCATAGCACAAGGCTGGATATAACTTGCCTTCCCCTCTTGAAAAACAGGACTAGAAACTCCTGCGGGTCCCTCAGACTGGAGAGCAGAACCCTTCCCACCCGCATGGCAGAGCAGGTCTACCTCGGCAGAGCACTCCTACCTTTGCAGAGCAGTTCTGCCTTCGCAGAGCACTCTTAACAGTTGCATTATGAAACACGACAACCCGAAGGGCTATCAGTGCACTGTGACAGCTTCGCCCTCCTTATCCACAGGCAAGATTCGTACCCCAGACGAGAGGATTTAAACCAGACAGCAGAGGCCTGTAGCCATCA